TACATGAAATAGGTTGAATCTTTTTCAGAACTGGGGAAACAAGGGCATTAGAAGAGAAGAAGGGAGAATAATGGGAGAGGAATTATCTTTCCTCTTTAATTTTCTTGGATACCGAAATAAAAAGTTGGACAGTAAGAGATCATTATCTCTGTATTTTTATGCCATACTAGGAATAGAAACAAACCCCTTCATTTGTTTTTATTCTATGTTTTTACAGGATATTATCTTCTCTCATTGGATTTTCAAAGTTTCTACTTTGAACTTTATGGTCATTGGTGCTCCCCTTTATTTTTTCCAGGGGCTTTCAAGGAGGTATTTTTTTAAAAAAGTCAAGATAGCTGTCAGGAATTGCAGTTGATAGTTCAGTCCTTTTTTGCATGGCCAGCTCCTGGCTTGTACAACATAGGTTTTAAGCTGCTAGGATGTTTCCTACAGCTGCAGTAGTTTGGGTGTTGGACAGCTTGGTCAAATGCACCATTTTATGTGCTATAATACTTAGATTAATTTATCCACAAACCCATTATTTTGATTGTGTGCCATCAAGTCATTGTCAACTCTTAGCAACCATATAGATTTTCTCCATGGTAATCTATCCCTAATTTGATCTTTCAGGTCTTGCAACAGTGCACTCATTGCTACAGTAACTGACTCCATACCCCCTGCTGCTGGTCATCCTCTTCTCTTTCCTTCCAGCATTCACAGCATTGGAGCTTTCTTCAAAAAGCTGGGTCTTTGCATAATGTGTTTGAAATAGGATGGCCTGAGCCTAGCCAGTTATGTTTTAGTGACAATTCTGGGTTGATTTGTTTGATGATCTATTGGTTTGTTTTTTTGGCTGTCTATGTTATTCTCAGCAGTTTCTCCAACACCAAAGTTCAAAAGCATTAATACTGTTCCTGTTACGTTTCTACAAAGTCCAACTTTCATTTCCATAGGGTATCACAGGAAATATCATGGCATGCATGATTCTGATCTTTGTAGGTAAAAACATATCACAGTATTTGAATATCTTTTCCAAGATCTTCTTTAAAGTCGCCCAAAAAGCCTCTTGCCCTATTTTTTCCCCTTAGATATCATGAAAGCATACATAACTTGCAAGGAATCTTTTGGATGTCAAAATTCACCTCAGAAATGGTCCCAACTTTCCCAGTATCTTCTTGCCAAACATTCTTAAAATAAATAAATATCTTTCATTTGCCAATTACAGTTTCTATAGCAACAACAAATCCCCACATGAAATTTATGCTGAAAGATATATACTTAAAGGTAAAAAAATAACACATTTTAAATTAACCTAAGCTATAAGCAGAAATAAATAACTGTTTTGATATGAATGTACCAACATTTGCACATTAAATAAGATGGAAAGAATTTGAGATTTTTAAAAAATGAAATGTGGACCAGAAGGGGTGAGTATTGGAATAATAATGTTGAAATGGGCCAGTTCCTTTTCCATATAAATTAAAACACTCCTGTCAAATAGATACCACACCCTCTCTGAATAATTAGTTTCATTGTTGAACTATTAGGAAATATTTTCTAACATTCAGTGGAATCTGCCATCCTGTGACTTAAATCCATTATTCTATGTTTTGCCAGTTGAGATAATAGAGAACAGATCTTGGACTTTTTCTGTGAAACATCCATTTCGTTATTTAGAAGTTGTTGTTATATCCTCCCTCAGTGTAGATTTCTCAGGGTTATACAACCCCAGTTCCTTAAAATGCTCTTCCTGGGATTGGAGAGGATACTTGAAATATATTTTGACAAATGCAGAATAGATAGATGGATTATTTTCTGTGTTGTAGAAATTACTTTTGTTTATGTACAATAAAATCTCATTTACCTGTTTAGTGAATATATCACATCACATGGCTGAGTCATAATTGGTTTTGTAATCAACTACTACTAGTTTCACAAGTACTGTTGCCAACCCAGCTTTACCCCTATTTTACTTTTGTTTGATGCCTATGTATAATAATAATAATGATAAAGTTGGAAGGGACCTTGGATGTCATCTAGTCCAACCCCCTGCTCAAGCAGGAACCCTATACCATTTTGGACAAATGGCTGTCCAGTTTCTTTTTTAAAACTTCCAGTGTTGGAGCATTCAACGTTTCTGGAGGCAGGTTGTTCCACTGGTTAATTGTTCTAACTGTCAGGAAGTTTCTCCTTAGTTCAAGGTTGCTTCTCTCTTTGGTTAGTTTCCACTTGTTGCTTCTTGTCCTGCCTTCAGGCGCTTTGGAAAATAGCTTGACTCTCTCTTCTTTGTGACAGCCCCTGAGATATGGGAACACTGCTATCATGTCCTCCCTCTTCCTTCTCTTCGTTAAACTAGACATATCCAATTCCAGCAACCATTCCTTATATGTTTTAGCCTCCAGTCCCCTAATCATCTTTGTTGCTCTTCTCTGTATTCTTTCTAGAGTCTCAACATCATTTTTACATCGTGGGGGCCAAAACTGGATGCAGTATTCCAAGTGTGGCCTTACCAAGGCATTGTAAAGTGGTATTAATACTTCACGTGATCTTGATTCTATCCCTCTGTTAATGCAGCCTAATACTGTGTTGGCTTTTTTGGCAGCTGTAGCACATTGCTGGCTCATATTTAAATGATTGTCCACTAGGACTCCGAGATCCCTCTCACAGTTACTACTATTGAGCAAGGTACCCCCTATACTATACCTGTACATTTGGTTTTTCTTACCTAAATGTAGAACCTTACTTTTTTCACCACTGAATTTCATTTTGTTAGATAGCACACAGTTCAAGTCTGTCCAGATCCTCCTGTATCCTAAGCCTGTCTTCTGGAGTGTTGGCTATTCATGCCAGCTTGGTGTCGTCTGCAAATTTGATGAGTTCCCCATCTATCCCCTCGTCCAGATCGTTGATGAAGATGTTGAAGAGCACTGGGCCCAGAACAGAACCCTGGGGCACCCCACTACACACTTCCCTCCATGTAGATGTGGTTCCATTGAGCTCTGGATCCATCTGGTGGTGATGCTGTTAATCCGCATTTTTCTATCTTATCAAGTAGTAGGTTGCGTTTTATTTTGTGATTCTCAACTTATTACTCTATTCTATCAGGAACATTTTGGATTTTAGTTCTTTTTTCTAAAGTATTGTTATTCGTGCAATACTAACTTTTCTTTCAAATCATTAATAAAAAAAATTCAAATATTGAAAGATCAGAACAGAACTTTTGGTATCCTACTCTGGGCCTCTCTGCACTTGACTAGGAACTGTTGATTAATACTTTTTATATATGTTTTTAAGCCAGCTACATACTACATTCTTAATCTGTTACTGATCTATATTAAAGAGATATCATGGAGTACATATAAAATGATTTGCTCAAATCAACATATATTATTTTTTAACATGTGGATTTTAGAGAACTACTATCATATTGGCCCTCTGTATATTCACCATCTCTGTATATTCACCATCCTTTAAATTCACTTTAGCTTGTCAATGTCCTCTACAGTCTGTGAAGCCCAGAAGTATATGCAGTAGGAATTATAGAGGCAAATATTGTCCATAATACTACACTAGTGAATGGTACATTCAAAGTAATGTTTGCCTTTTAGTAGTTCTATATTATACTGTTAGCTTATGTACAATTTCTATCTAATACTAATATAATCACCAAGCCAGGCTTCCCCCAATTTCTGTTTCTTCATTTTTCCCTCCCCAGATACAGAATTTTACATTCTCATTAAAGAATTAAAACCATTTTGGACCACTTTCCAAATCTCTCTAAATCTTTTTGAATGTTTAGTTTCTGAGTATTGGCCACTCTTCCTAGTTTCGTGTTATCTACAAATTCAATAATCATTCTTCAATTGCTTCATCCAGGTTGCAAATAAAAGTAATGAACATCAGAGGGCCCAGGACAGAGTTTTGTATTCAGTATTACCCTCCAGTCTAATATGAGGTGTAGGAAGATTTTTCCACTACAGGGGCCATCTATGGATATTTTCTGGCTACAGTCATTCAACCAGTTATGCATCCATCTGTTGTTTCCCATATTTTATCATTTAATTAATGAGGGTATCATGGGAGATTTTGTCAGATGCTTTGCTGAGATCAAAATATGCTAGTTTAAAGGGCTTTCCCAAGTTGGAAACTTGTGAGAAGGGAGAAAACCTTAATCTGGTGTTATTGTCTGTGATAAACCCATGTCGTCTCTTGTTAATTACTGCATTTCTATGCAAGTACACATAAAATACTATTTAATAATCTGTTTGAGAACCTTGCCCAACATAAATGTCAAACTGACAGGTCTGAAATTTCCTTGGTCTGTCTTTTTCTCTTTTTTGAAGATGTAACATTTGCTCTCCTTCAGTTCTCCAAAGGCTCTTAGCATTCTCCAGAGTTAGCAGGTTAGCAGTTCTATAATCACCTCCATTAATTCTTTCAGTACCCTACAATGTAGTTCATTTCACCCTGAATTAATTTAAGTTTCCTAAATGTTCATTTGCCTTCTCTTTGTCTATATTATTGTCAAGAATAAAACTTTGGCAACTACGTGCCTCTTTGTTTCGACTTGCGATTAGAGTTGTGGGAGGAGGAGGTGTTGCTTTAGAAGTGTTTTGATGGAGAAATGAAACCTTTATGATTCCTCTGACGACCGTGAGAGCCTGAAACATTTCCAAGGACACTGCAGCAGGTGTGGAGAAGCAGACAGTTCCCATAACAAAGTGAAATTATTTACAGAGACTAGGTGAGAGGGTGGGGGTTTGGCCAAAGAAATTATTGTTTAATTCTATGAGTTGATGTCTGGGAACCTCAGAGTTAATTTTGCTTCAACAGTATCATGCCATGCATTCAATAAAAAGTAAGATTTTCAGAATGGAATGAACCTGGTGATTTATTTGGAACATTAAGCTGGATGTTGATAATTATGCTATAGTTCTGCCTTCCAACAACTGATAGAATATCTAAGATTTTGTTTGCCTTCTGAGAACAGACATATATAAAATGTAAATTAAAAGAGTTTGTCTTTTCTATCACCTGTTACCAATTTACCTTTTTTTCCTTGCAACAGACCTACAATTCATTTGCCTTTTTAAAAACATATCTTAATAACTCCATTTTGTTGCTGTTGTTTTGCCATTTCTCCTGAAGTTTGTCCCATTCTGCATTTTAGTCTTTGTAACACAGTTTCTGGTAAATACTCTAGAGATCTTTGATTGTATAGTACAATCCCCCTTCAATTATCTAAATGTGTCTTTTTTTCAGTGTTTTAAGAAGCTTTGTGTTTCCACACTTTTCCTTCTAAATAATGCATTTAACTGGATTTTTAGTCCTTTCTGAATATTTTTCTCCTACAGGATTTGAAATCATTAGATTGATCTACCATTCAAGTTCACCAAAACACTCTTTCAAAATCCAATACCACAAGTCTCTCTCCATAATCAGCTTTAGTTCCCCTAAAAATTAAGAATTCCATTATTACTTCGTTGTATTTGCAATGTTTCTGTTCCTTCCACTTCCTCAATTAGGTTTTCCTTATTGATCCATATCCAGTCAAGAATAACTGAGCTTCTGATTCCTTCATCAGTTTCTGAAGGAGAAGGATCTGCAAAAAAGTCAGGAATTTTCAGAGTGAGTTTATATTCTGGTGCTATTTTTTCATACTTATTGGAAAATCTGCAGTTTGATTCTGAAAAGCATAATCCATATCGCCCCTTTGATTGGACAGGAGATAATAGCTACCAGCAATTGTATTTCTTATATTAAGTCTTCAATGTATTTTCACACAGATAATCTCTACAGTATTACCAAGTTAATTCAGTTAGAGTTCTGTGTGTCCATTTGTACCATGAAATGCAGATTTTCCTTCTCTTTCTACTGCTTTGTCCCTTTCAAGCAAACTGTATCCTTCATTTTTCACCAGTTCTCATTTATCTCTATTAAGTCATATTTTCCTTCCTGTACTGACAGTTCACGTTAATCTTGTTTATTTCCCATACTGTATTAGTATGAGTATAAGTACATAGAGAATGAAGGCCATGAACACTGAGCCAAGTTCCTTTCTTGGTGTTCATTGAATGATTTACTACAGCTGCATTGCAATAATATTCTCACTTAAAGTCTGAGAACATATCCCTGTATGTTGTATATGTATTAAAAAATGGAGATACCAGTAACTTTTTTCCAACATTATACACAGTTTCAGCCTGGGGTTGTCTCACACAGGAAATAGATATACAATAGGTATTGTATTTGGCCAATACAACTGGTTTATATGACATTTGTCCTGGATGACCGAGAATCTCCATAGACATTCAATGGGTTTATATGTGTCTTTTTGTTTTCTTATATCAGATTCACAGATTTATTCATTCATATACAATAATACAAAGAATTTCAGATTTTAAAATTTCAAATGTTAGCAGAATTTGACATTTTTGCTTTCTCTAGCTCTAACACATCTTTCCTCAAGGAAGCCTTTCTGAAGCATGAGGTCAAGGTTGCACATAAGGGTCATCTATGTGTGATATGGAAGTGTCAAGATAGCAACTGTGATTGTGCAGTTACATATGCCATCTTGACTTTTTAAAAAATTCTCACCCTCACAGAGGCCCCTGTTGTACACACTGAGACTAAATAGCTCATCTGTCACCTCATGTTTTGGATGCAACCCCATCAAGCTCCTCCAAAAGTTGCCATCACATTTGTAATTTTAATTAGATAGATAGTAGAAGAATACAAACTACATGGGGAATGAGATTGCTTAGTGTGATCTTCAGCTAAAAAAATATGCATTCCTGTATTAGATCATCACAGAAACTTCAGAAAAAGTTCAGATTCATTTTTTTAATATTTACAGGATTCCAGAAACTGTTTAAAGGCTTATTGTGAAAAACTATTTGGAAATGGTGGGGGGGGGGGAAATCAGAGAGAAATTTAGGAATTCAGACTTTAACCTTAAATTATATGATTTCTAGAGTTGTAAATTCTTCACACAGAAGAACTATAAAGTTGGTTGGCAGGGGAGACAAAACCTTCAGGAAACAAATGGAATAGTATATAAATTAAATACAGCTTTCAAAGGAAACCTGCTGAATTACATGGAGTGCAAGCCAGTATTTCCCTGATATGCTGTGGAGGTTGACTCAAATTGGATATACTAAATTGGACAAATAAGATGTTCCTTTCTAGCTGTCTTGTACTTAGATACTAAATTAATCACAATCAGATAATAACTTTATTATAGCTGTACATTGAGATAAATTTGAACAAGGAAAAGCATGACTAGAGATCATTGAATTATGAGGTGGATATAGATATAGAGGTGGAAGACTTGAATATGGGGAAAATCAAAGAGAAAAGCCAAGAGGACAGGTTCTGTGGAGACAGCATATTCCTAATAATGGATACCTGACCATCTCACATGCCTGTAATTAAGTTTAAATGATGCGAGTAGAAGCTATGTACTAGATTTAGTGCTAGAGTTTTATGATACTGACTTCCAAACATACCACTTTATTTTTAAATACTTTTAATTAAAGAGTTTTACAATATTAACATATATACAAACTGATATCAGTAAGAGAAGAAAAGAATAGAAAAAAAAAGAAGAGTCAGAAAAAGATTCTGTTGAGATATTCTGCTGTTTCTGATATTCCTTGCAAAAATATGGGCAAATTAATAATTCCACACCCTCTATGAAATTACATATGTGGTTCACTTTTTCCCACAACCCACCATTTATTCACAAATCTAGAAATTGGTATCAATTTTGTTCAAATGTTGGCAAAAAATCCATAAAGGTTTCCAGAACTTCATAAAAATATTTCTTATTTTAGCCCTGATCAAACGAGTCAACTTTATATACTTTTTATGGTTTGTAACATAGTGACAAAGAGGCATTTTTATCTCCCTGTCAAGTCTACTCCAAGGACCCAGGATAGGCAGATGTTGATGTTTGATGGGGTAAATACCTTTCTTTCCAGTAGTTCTGGAGCTGCTGGTCTTAGTTGCTCAGCCAACAGTCCTGAGTCCTGTATACTGTTTTCCACCAGATGTCTAGAAACTTCAACACCTAGCAGAGTTTGTGTTGGCCTGGGTGATAACCATGCCAGAATGTGTTTCTATAACATACTTCTCACCATGTTTTTTTAAGGGAGAGACACTCTTTGTTGGCTCCTCTGCAGAGACCTGTCCAGTATGGTTGAACCTCTGGTATAGCTCTCATCTTCCTCAGAGCAGACAAGCCCACAATTGCGTGAAGGTAGTGCCTCGCTGCAGAATACTTAGAATAATAATTATTGTTGCTTTTAAGAACTTAATCTTTAATTGATCAAGTTGCTTTAATTCATGCAATTGAATCTTCCCTTTCAAAAATTTCTTCAATCTTAGAAATGTTTTTTTTTTTTTGTAAATCCAAAAATATTGCTGAGGTCCTCCCGCATCTCTTGATTTGTCATTTTTATTTCTATTCGGGAAACAGTCCCACTGATAATGTTGCTGAAATATACCCACTGCACTTGCTCAGTTTTAACATTTTGTTTCATTGGGCTTATACAGCCTTTAAGTTCCTAAAATGGCTTAACATTCTGCCTTTCCCTCATATGCTCACTGAGGGATTACTATTCCTACAAAAATTTAGCTGTGCTATTTAAGATAAGTGTTAATACTTTTTTTTACACATTCCAGAATCTGACATCTGAATTTAATGGGAACAGAAAAAAATCATTTGGAATTATCAGCATGAACTGTGAACCATGGCTTGAGGCCAATATGTGAGCTGGGGGAAAAAGATATCATTTTTGAGACTCAAGACCCCAATCAAGATCATAAAATTGTTACAGATCATTCAGCACTACTTACTGAAAAATATCTGCCTTTGAAGCAAAAATATTAGCCCCTGTTCTTTGCATAAAATACTTGTATTAGCTACCCCACAGTGATTGTTCTTACAGGTTCAGGTAAGCTGTGCATTCTGCAGACCCCTCACATCCTGGACATAAACTGTTTTAAACTTAATAAATTGGTGCAAAGACAATTGCTGACCCTGAGGCTGTGAACAGAAGAGATTCTGATGATCAAAAAGAGAGGGAAGACTGAGGAAAGGATAAGAAGGATGATGAAAATATGACCTTCTCCATTGAATCCACTATCCAAGTATCTCCAAGAGACCTCTAGTCATATTGCAGAATTATCTGAGTTAAGACAATGTTCAATAGCTTTGAGAAGAATGACTGAGTGGACCAAATTAAGATAAGTATTTAATGGGAGAAGAAAGGAAAAAGAAGGAAGGCCCCAAAATTCCTATATTATAGTATTTGTAATTTGAAATAGCAAAATACACAAATCAACAAACATAATCTATATGAACAAATTTCTACCTATAGATGTACATTGAGAAATAACTGTGGATTTAAATGGGACTTCACCACTTGGTGGGAGATTATGAAGAGGTAATCTGTATTATCATATTAATTGCTTCTGGGCAACTTCAAGACTTCTTCTGTTCTCCTTTTATTGTTCAAGCATGCCTGGAATGGACTGTCCTTCAACTAGAGGACATATTCAAATAGAGAAATGTCCCTTAAATGTAGGAACCATGCCCACCTTCAGTAGTATGGTGAATAGTTGGTAAGAAGACTGGCAGACTAGAAAAAATCTTTGCCATTTCAGTTTCAGAGGGACTGCACCAAAGAGAATTGGATTTATTTCAGAATAATTACCCATTTCTGGCACTCTGAAGACCGCAAATTCAGCCATGCATTAGGAAATGTTTGACTCATTGCAAAACTTGATGACAAACTGGGAGAAATAAAGACTTTCTCTGTTTTGCAAATGCAAATTGAGGAGAAGATAAAATTTCAACATTCGTACAGAAACACATCTCCTATTCCATTCAAAGCAAAAGGTTGTAATAAATAGATAATTTTATTCCCTTTGGGGACTATTTGGCTTCATATTGATAAAAGAATGTGCCATCACTGCTGCTACTTTTCAGACTGATCAGCAACATTTGTCCCCAGTGATTTTAAACAGTAATCAATTATAAAGAAAAGGCAATTCAAGTATGAATTATCAATGTGCCTTGTTCATTCACAGTACACTGTGGTATCATTTTGAAGTTGCTCAGGCTGTGCTGAAGAGTAAGAGAAATAATACTAGACTTCGGCTAATTAATGGCTAGCCAAACCAAAAAGAACCCATGTTTGGAACAGAATGTAATCTCTTTTCTGCCTTGTCTAGCGAATGACCTTTTCTAGTGATCTTAATTAACTGTATTATGAATTAATTAATTTAATTGTATAATGAATAATCAGTCTAATGAAGTATATAGAGTAGAGTCCATTCAAATGCACAATTGCATGGAAATGCAACAGCATGCAGGATGGACTAAAGCAATGAGGACTGGGAAAATTCAGAAATGACTGATGAATAAAAGCATCAAGACTGAGGACATGAACATGAATTCAGGAGCTACTACACAACTTTTGGTAACTATCTGATAACTATCTCTCTGCCTATATTAGTTAAGCAAATGGTTGATTAATAATGTCCATCTCTAATTAGTTATGTTGGGATGGAGAGATTTATTAAAAAGGACAACTATTCAAGCTTTTATTCCATACAATTATTGTACTGTATACTGTTGACTTCTATAATGATTGCGCCCACCAGGGACAAAAATCTTGAGAGGTGAGGCAGCAAGTTTTCTATACATTATAGCAGTGTTTCTCAACCTTGACAATTTTAAGGCATGTGGACTTCAACTCCCAGAATTCCACAGCCAGCAATGCTGGCTGTGGAATTCTGGGAGTTGAAGTCCACATGCCTTAAAATTGTCAAGGTTGAGAAACACTGCATTATAGGATGTGTAGTATAGGATGTGTGAATAAAAAAATTATATAAAAGTGCATAGTTTGTTCACAGGCTAAGTAGGCCATCTCTTTTTCTGAACATAATTGATAGATTTCATTCAATCAAATTGTTGCTGACTCTCAGCAAACCACATAGATATAGTCGATTTTCTCCATGATGATCTGTCCATAACCTGGTCCTTCAGTTCTTTCAATGTGCATTAATCACCATTGTAACTGATTCTATCCACCTTTCTGCTGGTTGTCCTTTTCTTTTTCCTTTCAACTCTAGCCACATCCCACTTTTCCCAAAGAAACCAGATTAAGAATATTTTAGAATTTCTACATGTTTTCTTCCTATGCGTATAAGAGAGTTTGAACTGATCCTTGGCATGGCAGAAGGAATTGTTCCCTTTCCTTGCAGTTATGAAAATAAAAGATAGGAATCTTAACAGATTTCTAGCACAAAAGGATCTGCAACAAAGAACCTCATCCCAGACTCCATTTCATCAGTAATTTTGCTTATGTCACTTGCCAGTTTCAGAGCACAAGCTTGATCATTTATTTAGCATAATGTTATACTCAAATCAGGTAAATTACCCAAATGCTTGTGCTTAATTACCTATTTGCACATTCAGTGAACCAATTTGAACACCAAGATGTAGGAATTCTATGTAACTAAGTGAGGTGGGCATTTATGATTGCAATCAGTATACAATTCTTTGTATCTAGTTAAATGAACAGATTACAAATGTATAGGGTGAGTAAAGGGAATAACATGTTTTTTGTCAGCAAACAAGGAACCTGATGCAGAACTAAGCTTTTCACAAGAAAGACACCATGAAATTACAGATTAAGCCATGGTACTCACTTGTCTTCTATTCTGCTTGTCTAAAATGTTCTGCTTGTCTAAACTGTGTCAGTGGAAGGAGGTACAGTTTACTGCATCCATGGAGTTTCATCTGTTGTAGCAAGCAATAGGGATCTCATGTGAACAAAGAAAGGCATTGTTTAAAGGTTGAAATAATAGTTGACTGGTTCAGACTCTGGGATCTCCTGCTGTTGAATGTCAAGAAATTGGACTTAGAGATGGCTTCATTTGAGATACTGTAGAATTATTACCAGTTTAAGCCAATATATTAGAAATTATAGTTTGTGTTCCTGGCTATGTTTGTATAATAAGCTTAATTCACTTCATTTGTTTTCTAGGTTCACACAATACATTGAATCATAAACCAACTGAAAAGATTGAGTTTTCATTTTAGACTTAGAAAAGAAAAAAAAATCTTATATTTGCAATGTGGTTGGGGATTCATCTAAGCTAGAAATTTATTCTTGTAGAACACTTGCACTTTTAGTTTTCACAGACAGAAATCTGCCTCTATTACTGAACACACCCAATAATATTTCTTGACGTTATTATCTGGCTTGTCCTTTTTGGAAGAAACTTGCATTTGGAACATCACAGGCTACTTATAGTACCATTTGAAAACTGGTCAGGAATTGTTGGGTTGTTAATCACCCCTGTTCTTTTATTGGAGGATATCTGATATTTGTTACATCAGTAGTTCCTTCATCAGTTTACAAATGTATACAATAAGCTCTATAGAAATTCTAGACTAGTTTGTCCCAAATTGGTGTCTATAACTCCCATCAGTTTCAGCTAGCAACAGGAGAATATTACATCGTGAAACCTGTTCTTGTTCATTTTATAGGAATTTTAAAGCACAGGTCGATTAAGTACAGTTGGCTCTTTTTGTCTTATTATTTGTGTTTTGTTTGTTTTATTTGCCTTTCATCAGTTATCTTTATTTTAACTTGATTTATTGTACAATCAAGAATCTGCATTCAGTTTTGGTCACCACGATGTAAAAAAGATGTTGAGACTCTAGAAAGAGTACAGAGAAGAGCAACAAAGATGATTAGGGGACTGGAGGCTAAAACATGTAAGGAACAGTTGCTGGAATTGGGAATGTCTAGTTTAATGAAGAGAAGGACGAGGGGGGACATGATAGCAGGGTTCCAATATCTCAGGGGCTGCCACAAAGAAGAGGGAGTCAAGCTATTCTCCAAAGCGCTTGAAGGCAGGACAAGAAGCAATGGATGGAAACTACTCAAGGAGAGAAGCAACCTAGAACTAAGGAGAAACTTCCTGACAGTTAGAACAATTAAACAGTAGAACAACCTGACTCCAGAAGCTGTGAATGCTCCAACACTGGAAGTTTTTAAGAAGAGAATGGACAGCCATTTGTCCGAAATGATATAGGGTTGGACTAGATGACCTCCAAGGTCCCTTCCAACTTTACTACTACTACTACTACTATTATTATATATTTTGACCTTTGCCGTAGAAAAAACAGGAGCTTCTTGTCCCTTCCCACTCCTTTTCTTACTGGAAATGTATTATGTATGTCACTGCAAGAACTCAAACTTTCAGAAGCATATTTTTTGAGACAGGGGGATAAAGGAATGGAGGATCTTTGCATGCCCTTTTGTACCCAAATTAGTGAATTACCATTGGTAGAATCATATTGACTACATAATTTGTTGCTATGCCAAAGTGAATTTCAGTAGCACTCCTATTACCCCACTACCATGCATAGCTAGCTCACTTTCTTTGTTCAGTTCAGTTTAGTTTATGTTGTAGTCAAAATCTGAAACTTTAAACTTCCTTAAATAATGTTTCATCTTATGAACCAATTATACCAGCTTCTGGACAAGAAGACTTTATTCAAGCCTTAATACCATCCAATTGGATGGTCACAATGCTCTTTACATAGGGCTGCCCTTGAAAAGGCACCAGAGAGCAGGAAAAGAAATAATGGGTGGAAACTTGTCAAAGAGAGATCCAAACTAGAAGTAAGGAGAATTTTTCTGTCACAATTGATCAGTAGAACAGCTTGGGTCCTTGGGTTGTGGGTGGTCCATCACTGGAGGTTTTCAACTATTTGATTGAGATGGTATAAGACTCCTTCCTTGGGCAAGTGTTTGGACTAGAAGATCTCTGAGGTTCCTTCCAACACCATGATGCTATGATTCTATGTTTCATTCAGAATCTGAAACTGGTCCAGAAGATAGTGTTTTGGGATGCTCCATGATATTTTTCCATGCCAGCTCTCCTCTGTGAGCTTCACTGGTTCCCATGAGACTTCAGAATGGACCTTTAGAGCTTCTTCCAGTGGACTTCTGAGTGCAATTTAAGGTGCTGATTTTCACCTACAGAACTTTACACGGCACATGATCAGATTGTTTGCAGGACTGTCTCTCTCTAATTGTTTCCATTCACCCTAACTTGTCTTGTAAAACCTAGGAATCATGCCTTTCTCTGCCTCAACAGCTGCACAATGCAACAATGTCCCCACACACACATACCGAGATCTGGATGGCCCTGATCCTCCTGGCTTTATTTATTAACCAAATTGGACAGTGAGATGGGTGGCATATAAATTTAAATAAATAAGTAAATAAATTGGTATGTCACCCAATCCCAATAACTAAAGCAAAGAGGAAGAGTTTTAATAAGATATTTAAAACTTGGATATTCCTTTAGGCACCAGGAGACCAAATCAGCCTGAAGGACATATCTGCTTCTGACTTTACTGCTTGAAAAATAAGATAATTTTCAGACCATGGGCATTTGATATGAGCATGTGAGATAATAATGATAATGATGGTGATGGTGATGGTGACAACAATGATGACTATTGTTTTGGATGTTTGATTTTAGGTTGATAGGGTTTGGGGCTTTTTTAATCCACTGTGCACTCTTGTGACATGAGTGTCTGTATAAAATGCTTAAATCAAATCAAATATTTATTATGGCCATAGATCAGTATAGTATGCATACATGCATAAAATAAATGAATAAACAAAATATTCTTTTATAGACAGACATCCACATAGAAGGAAGCATGCCAGACAAGACATAAATGATAATGTAGTTTTCTGTGTCACAGAAATAAACACACAAATGCAAACAAAGCTTGTATAGCTATCAGATCACCTTTCTCACATGGAATCTCTAGTAGGAAATATGATTTTGGTCAATGGTAACATATCTAAGCGATTAAAATAGCACCCTTTTAATGGCTTAATTCCCACCTTGCAAAATATTGTGCTAATTGTTAATTATACCAGTCCAGTTTCCAACAGAATATCAATATTAAGGTACATTCATTTTATCAAGCACCAGTAATGAGACACACCATGCAGATGTTAGGAGAGAACTTGGTGCAAGTGACTTAAGCTTGAATTAAGTGAGTGACTTCTATTGCCAAATACCAGGGGGAATATTCACCCTTGGATTGCCAATAAAAAATGCTCACAAGTTGGGAAAACTCCATCAAGCTTGAAATTTAAATTGTTAAATATTTTTTTCTGCAATCCCAAAGTGATGACAATCTCTGCAGCTTAAAATGAAAATTGAATGTATTTAGCTTCACATAATGGGGCAAGTGGATGCCTTCTTTGCTATAAATGGGAATAGGGAGCTGATCTTTTTCTTGTAAATAATGAGTTTTTCAGCTTAATGATAGTTGCCTATGCTTTGAATCAACTCACTTACCTGGCCGTCAATTGTGAGGTAATGCTTTGTACCTCTCTTGCTATTATTTAATTGATAGAAAAGTCTTAGCATAATGCAGATGAATGAATCCACTCCAAAAATTCACCATGCAAACCAACGCATTCTCTCTCCAGGGCCAGCCAGCAGCCTTGATGCTTAGCAATTAGAGCTCAGTTCATGTCAGCAACTCCAAGCCTTTTAAAAGAAGAAGACAATAAATATATTTACAGTATAAATATTGCATGCAAATAAAGCCTAGAATGATTCTTTCTTTATAACTGAAGTCATTCTTACAGTACAAATCTCAAGCTGCCACTCGTCCTCATTATTCTTCTGTTATTTTCCATTGTTTTGAAGCAGCAGGAGAAGCAAAATAAAACCCTTCAAATGTCAAACTAGCAGGTTGTAAATAAACATCTCCCCGCTCCTTCCCCTTACTCAGTGCCAAACACATTTGTTCCATCCTCTGGTTTTGTTTTTTTTTAAGTTTAAAAAAAACATTACTCAGCGTAACATGAAGCCTAATTAAAATTTTACACAGTATGTCTTTTAATTAGATATGGCTGGAGCGGTGAAAGCTATCAATAAGTACCAGGATAATGGTAGAAAATAGCTTTTCAAAAATGAACAGCAGGCACGAATATACTTGGCCACAGGGTGCTGGTTGAAAGTCACAGTCTTGACAGTGGTTCAGAGCTGAAAAAAACCCAGATGAACCCTAGGGGACAGCCAAGAGATAGAGAAATTTATTAACTATTTTGCTGGAATATCATGTATACAGTATTCACTGCCTTGAGTTACTTATAAAGTAATACAGGGATAAAAATCAAACAGGCTGCAACTTTATCTTTATCTTTTACATTTATGATAGATAGTCAAATACATTTAAGAATATCATGCAGTTGCATATACACACAAGCATACAAACTTGAATTCTGTTTATATACATAATTTAGTTACATTATGCTATGCACAATTTCCATAAACCATTCAGCAGCTTTAGAATGAATTAATGCTTTTAAATTCCCTACATACAGGAGTCAAAACTGATCTATAAAAAATAATGATTTGACAAGAAGCAATATCACCTTTAACTTTATTTCAAATGTTCACAATAAGTACCTATTCTCTATAAGTCCTTGTTACCTTGCTTGCTTCTTTCTTTTGTGAAAGAGGATGAAAGAATAAGTTAAAACAATTTCTTTTTTTTAAAAAAAATCCTATGTAAATATTTATTTAGTTGAAGAATGCAGTAAACATAAAACAAAAGATTTAGGTGTGATTGGACTGTCACAGATACAATATAACAGGCAGAACCTTTATGTCACCTCAAATCACTGCAAGTATCATTCTTGTCAGTGGTATCGGTTGACACATTTTGCTACCACCAGTTGTCAAAGCCTGGTTCACACATGTACACTGGCCATTTGACAACTAGATTCTACATTATGACACATCTGTATAAAAGTGTGACAGCAAAGCGTGACTAAAATATTCTCCATGACCTTAGGCACAGAATACTTTCAATGAATCCTCTTCGCACATTCAATTGCTTCTCATTAGATACATACGTATCAACTGTCTCTCTGTGTTCTGTGTGTATAAACCACCCAAGAAGTACAATGAATCAGCTGTAGAGAATTTGCAGGCTCAGGACACAACACCCCTCCCCCCTAGCTTGGAACAATCCTGACACTTCAGTATTCTTAGTTTTGGGAAGACTGTCAAACTTCCTGACAGTCAAGCATGGAAGGGAGTGCCTGAGGTTGCCTCCACCCACAAGTTGCTATCCTTGCTAAGATACTCAAAATCATAAGTAAAACAAAATACATTATTAACTAATAACCTTAAGGGTAGTACCCCTTGTAGCTGGATAGCAACTTCACAAAGTCTGAAAGATATTTGGGAAGGCACTTGGCCCTTTGTGACCTCCTCGGACTGGGAAAGTTTGCTGGTTCCTTTTCTTTGCCCACCAGACTGGGTGAGCCAGGACATTGCTGCCCACTTGCCTCAGGAGACTCTGGTGTTGTTGCCTGACCTACCTGCTCGCCTGCCATGCTCAGTAGGTCAGGGCTTTGCTGCCCCAAGTACCTGGTTGACCTGCCCATCTGCTGGTTAGCTGTGCCCTCTGAGCTCAAACCAACATCCCTTAGAGGGGTGGTAGTCCCCAGATCCACAATGGACCTTTCTTGGGAGCACTGTCCCTCAAACCCAAGGTCAGCAGATGGATAGTCAGGGGTGGCTATAGGGCCCCAGTATCCAGTGGACCCCAAGGTCATGTCTGAGGTACCAGAATCAGGATTAGCCTCTCTGTTTGCCCCCCTTACAGAGGACTTCCTTCTGGGAGCAATTGCGGAATTTGGCCTGCTCCCCTGCTGTGTTGCCAGTTCTTTTGCAGGATGTGAGCTGTGTGGATACCCCTGGTCAGTCTCCCTGTCTGGACTGTTACTAGTTATGGGTGAATAATGTGGATACTCTCGGTGAGACTCTCTGGCTGGAGTAAGTATGAGTGTATAGGGTGAACCCCTGTCCCATGACTTCCTGTTCGGAGCACTTGCAGAACCTTGAGATGGGGGATCAATGGCCTCCTCAGCGGCCAGTAATGGCTGCTGGCATCGATCCTCAGAATGCACTCTATAGCCTTCCTCCCTCCCCAGTGCAGAGCTAGGAGTGGAAGGGTGTAAATCCAGCCTCACACGCAGCTGATCTATGTGTCGCCGAAGAATGTGGCCGTCTTCCAAGGACACTTCATATGACAAAGGTCCAGAGACCTTGCAGACCACAGCTAGTACCCAGAGATGACCAGGCTTGTAGTTCCGAGTCCAAACCTGAGCACCCACTTGCAGGCTCCTTGGTGCCCATGGATGCGACACCTGAGACACCACCTGGTCCGGGTGCAGTCTGTCCAGCTTAGTGATAAGCCGACAACCCCAGTGAAGTTCAGCAGGACTCTTCCCGGTGGCTGGGCAAGGTGTGGTGCGATGTGCAAGAAGAAAGTCTGCTAACCTTTGATGCCAGTCACCGTAAGTCAGTCTCTTGAGGGCATCCTTGGTGATGCGCACCATACACTCAGCCATTCCGTTGGTGGATGGGTGGAAAGGAGCCGAAGTTGCATGGCGGATCAGGTTGGCCTGAAGAAAAGCCTGGAACTCAGAAGAAGTGAATTGAGGACCGTTATCTGAAACCAGAACATCTGGAAGGCCATGAGCTGCAAAAATACCTTTCAGCACCTGGATAGTCTTGGCAGTAGTATGGAGGTCACAGGAACAATCTCTAGCCACTTGGAATGGCTATCAACAACAACCAGGAAGAATTGCCCCTGAAAGGGTCCAGCATAATCTATATGTACCCTAGACCATGGGGTTTGAGTTTCCTCCCACCTATGAACTGGGGCCTGAGGCATTTCAGACCAGGACTGTTGACATACATGGCACCCATGCACCTGGGCCTCGATGGTTTTATCAAGGCCAGGCCACCACAAATGGCTGTGCACAAGTGCTTTCATCCTGACTATCCCAGGGTGTCCCTCATGTAGAGAGATTAAGATCCTAGACCTCAATGAGGCAGAGATTACTACCCTACTTCCCCATAACAGGCAACCCTTGAAAGTGAACAACTCATGCCTCTTCTGCCAGAAACTTTGGAACTCAGTATCAGGGCACGTGTCAGGCCAACCTGACAATACCCACGTCAACATGCGTGTAAGTGTGTGATCAGTGGCAGTTTCTGCAGCCACATCCCTAGCACTGAGGGAGACTCAGGTAGCTCTTGAATGGATAGAATGTTAACAGCTGGAGCAGGATCTGGCTCCAGTGTTGGTAGGGGTAATCTACTCAGGGCATCTGCATGACCCATTTCTTTTCCAGGTTTGTGAATCAATGTGTAGTCATATGCTGACAGGAAAATGGACCATCTCAGCATATGAGAAGAAAGAATATGTAGGGTCTGTTTGGTCATGGTAAGCAGTGGCTTATGGTCAGTGTAGACCATGAAGTGGCGGTCGTATATGAAATCATGAAACTTCTTAATGCCAGCCACAATGACCAGCGCTTCCCTGTCAATCTGAGCATAATTACGCTCTGCAGAAGACAGGGATCTGGAATAATAAGCCACAGGGACCTGTGTTCCATCAGCCATCAGATGGCTAAGGACAGCCCCTACTCCATAAGGAGAAGCATCGCAAGCAATGCAAACAGGCAGTTGCTCACTTAAGTGAGCTAATACAGCATTAGAAGTAAGCAAGACTTTAACCTCATTGAAACTTTTTTCCTGGACCTTAGTCCACTGCCAACAGGCTTGTTTGTCTATGCAAGGGCTCAGCTATTGCAGCTTTATGCGGCAGAAATGCATGGTAAAAGTTTAAAAGCCCAAAAAGGCTTGTAGTTCGCCCTTAGACTTAGGGCTTGGGACCTGCTGAATGGCCTTTAATTTAACTTCAGAAGGGTGAATGCCTTGAGCATCTATCCTGAATCCCAAAAAGTCAGTAGAATTGACTCCTATCTTACACTTGTCCTTTTTTAACCTAAGGCCTGCTCTTCTAAAACGAAGCAAGACATCCCTTAATCTCTCTGCCAAGTTTTGAGATGATTCCCCTGCAATGAGGACATCATCAAAATATGGGCAGACTCCAGGAATACCCCTCAATGTGTTCTCCATGACACTTTGGAATATGCCAGGGGCTACATTCACCCCAAATTGCAATCTCTTTACTTTAAAAGCTTCTATATGGGTTACAATTGTCTGAGCTTCTGCAGCTGCCTCATCAACAGGCAACTGTTGATAGGCCTGTGCCAGGTCAAGTTTCGCAAAAATGCGCCGCCCCCCCTTTAGGAAAGCCAGAATGTGACTTACTACAGATACTGGGTAAGCGTGTTGCTGCAGTGCCTTGTTTAGTGTGCACTTGTAATCTGCACAAATACGTATGTCCCCATTAGCCTTAAGAGGCATTACTATGGGGGTTTCTCAAGGATTAGAATCTACAGGTTCTAAGATGCCCTGCTGGAGCAATTTGTCCAGTTCAGCATCAGTCTTGCCTTTGAGGGCAAAAGGTACCCTCCTAGGCTTGATCCTAATGGGTGTTATGGAAGGATCTAATCGTAGTGAAATGGAGGCCCCTTATAGGATCCAAGCTCAGAACTAAACACATCTGCACATTCCTTGCAGACTTCTGCAAGACTTAACGTTTGCAAATGGTGCAACCCCATAACCTGGATTCCCAGAGCCTCAAACCAATCGAGTCCAATAAGACTCGTACGTTCACCCCCAACAACCAATACATCTAAGGGACCCTCAAAATCCTTGTACTGTACCTTAAGGGTAACCTCCCCCTTAACACACACCTTAGAATTCTGAAAGTCTGTGAGTATCACGTTGGA